GACGTCAAATTCTATTTTGTTCAGCGACAGTGTACAAACGTGTGCCGCTGACGATTACCGTGACCAGCTACACCAGAACGAACATATTTCGCATCTAACTCAACCCCATGCAACAAAAAATATATGTGTTCATTATGGTCCATTCCTCCTCGACGAACAAGTACCTAAGTGAAAATTTAGTCAAAGATGAGAAAACTGCAGAAGAAATTTGCCTTATTTACACGTACTGGCAATGCAAGCTGCCATGCGACTTCCCCTTCTGACATCACAAGGGGAATTTCTGTATGCAAATAAGAAGCTAATGAGGAGCCTCGTTTTAAAATACACAAAAATAAAGTTGCCGTAGATTGAGTTTAAAACACATTTTTTCACTTAAAAAAAAAATTCATGCTTAGAAACATAAAAAATAATAATATTTATGTATCAATGGATAATTTTAGGCGTGACAATAGCAGCCATTTCACAGGCACTTTAATGTTGGTTTGGATCAACAACACAGCCTCTGAATCAGAAAACAAACACTTCCCCCATTACATACTTCACCTATACATAAAATAAATCTGCGCGGCACAGATTGATATAAATCTTGATAAGAGCAACATTTCTTTTACCTGATACATAATTTGAGTGTTTTTCTTTTTATTATTTTGTAATTTATGATTTTCAGAATAAACAATTACACTGAACGAGCAGATTTGAAAATGTAGATTTTTTCAAAAAACAAACAAACATTTTGTAAAAGGCTACATTATAGGATCTCTCTCGCTCACGTTTTCAATGACAACATCCGCAATTTTCTCCTATCCCAAGTAGATGTTTCATCACACTTGGTTCTTTTTGTAGGTACAACAATCTACGGGCGACTTGTCTGACATTTTAGAAACCACAATGTTTACACATGATGTGCACACATACACACAAATAAACAAAAAACAGCACACTACACTGGGGTCACTCGAACCTAAATAAAATGCAAAACACATTCCTGGTTGAATAAACAATTTAATGAAACCCACACGTATGTATGATATACAGCGAGTAATAAAATTACCTTGATGAAATAAAGAGAAGCACTAAATGTACAAATCCTGGATTGCCATGCGAAGTTCAAGTAATCGCTAGCTACGTACAGAGTGCGACAACTACACTTGGATTAACCGATGTAATCTCCAGGTTACAAGGATTCATATAGAACATAACTCGTCCCTTATTGAGCAGAAAATATTACAGTTGTTCAACCTGTTCACAAATTAAAGGCGAGACTCTGGGGAAAAAAACAATGAACATCAACGGTGAATCAGCGGGTTATCTATCATAACGTCTGTACAAGTGCAGACATGACATATTTGACCACTGAGAATTAAATATGCAAATACATTGACAGCCAAATTCCTTAATCTGATTGTCTGATAGGGTTTTGAGGTATAACAATAAATGTTAAAGGTTATGGTTTTCTCTTTACACAATTTTATTTCATTTAATTACATACATTACAGTAAACATTAATTACATAATACAAAACGACGAAGACAAGCAAACAAGAGTAACAGAAATAAAACAAAACAAAATAATTGCTAATTCACTGAAATAAAAAAAATTTACACACTATCAGAGATAATAGACCACTTCCGTAAATGTAATTCCAATTTGTTTTTAGATATAGCTATTAGCTTTTCAATCTTGCATGCTTCAGTTACCACCTTACGAAAATATACATCACTCGGTATACTCTTACTCATTTTACAATTATAAATATATTGCTTCCCTAAAAGTACCAAATAATTCGCCAACACTGAAAAGTCAGTACAGCC